CATGGGATACCCTGGCGACAAGCATTGGGCTTCTTGCGCCAGGCGAAAGGGGGGGAAAGCAAAGAAGGGGGGTTGAGAATCAGCTCACGTGGCTGATTCTCCCGGCGCCTCCCGGCGCCGGGAGGCGGCCATGTATCGAGGAATGGGCCCCTCGGTGAGGCCGAAACCAGCTGCATGCAGCAAATTTCGAACCCCCCCCTTTCCCAATCCCCCCCTTTCGCCCGGCCCGAGCTTCTTGATTCACGCCCCCCCAGTCATCACCCCCCTCTTTTGAGCAGGGACCGACCGTCCCGGCATTTCTATAGTCCTACCACGAAATGTTCGTAGAACCAAAAAATGTTCTAAGAACAAAGACGATGTTCTTAGAACATACACCCGATGCGTTAAACCAAGACAGCCCCGGCCAGAACTGTTCTCTAAGAACCTTTCGTGGAAACCACAAACAAATTCTTAGAACATTCTTTGGCATGGCTATAGGCACGCCGGGACGCTTCGCCACTGCTTGACTCTTGCCGCCCCCGATGCACGTTTGTGAAGGGGCCCCAGGACGCACACAAATAAATACACACAAATAAAGATATTCCCCATATTTTCCGATATTTTCGGGGGTTCAGTCTCCCCCCCTCTTCCCATATTTTCCCATATTTTCTGAGGAATCGAGGATTCATTGTGTCTGTGTGCTTTTTCCCCTCCCGAGTTTGGCCCGGCCGCGGGCTCCTCCCCCGCCGCGTCGGCAGCGCCGCCCGGCGAGCGCCCGGGCGCCGCGCCGTGCCGCAGGGGCAGGACGGGCCCGGGCACCGCCCGCCGCACACCACGCGGGGAGCCGCTGCCCCGGGTCCATCCAGACCCGGGTCCTTGCCGTCGCTCGGACGTCCATTTCCCGTGCATTGTTCGGTTTCGGGTGTGTTTTTTGCTCGAGGGTCCAGGATGCTCCTCGGTGGTTCCCGCCGAGAAAACATGCGCACGTCCGAGCGATGCCAAGGGTCAGTCAGGCCCTGCAGAATCCTGCAAGATCCTGCGCCCAAGCCCAGGTCAGCGCGAAGGGTCCTGCAAGATCCTGCGGGATCCGGCACCCAAGAGCCGAGGTCAGTGCGACCCCGGCCCCGCAGGATCCTGCAAGGTCGGGCGCTCTGGCCGACCCCTGTTTGCATCGACCCCCGTCTCTGGAGCCCCGAGCCGCCACGGCCGAAGCCCAGATATAGGGGAACGAAGAATGGCACAAACATGAAAACTCGGAAGCCCGCGCGGATTTCTCGGATCCGCGCTGGGACCCCCTCCCTGGCGGGCGGCGCCGGAGGCGCCGCCAGGGTGGTCCCAGCGCGGATCCGAGGAATCCGCGCGGACTTATGTTTATGCCATTCTTCGTTCCCCGGTTTCTGATTTCCCCCAAAAAAGTGCCCAGGTTCTCGAATTCCCAAAGATGTTTTTTCATGGTGAAACGCAGAGTTTCTCCAACTCAAGAACCAGACTGTTGAAATTTGCCTCAACAAAACGTGTGCCCAGACCCCCGGCATCGTGATCTTTCCGCAGCGCCGTGGCACGGACCTCCTGCCCGAGGGGCCTGCGGTGGTGCGCGCCAGACCCGGACCCCCTCGCGCTGCGCAGGCCTGACATGCTTTGAGACCCCACGGCATGGAAAACGATGGCGGGGCTAGCCGCGTCGAGGCACCCTCACACCTGAGACGTATAACGACGCATCAGTCGGGGATGGACAGACCTCACTCTAGTAAAACGTGGTTTAGTGAAAACGACCTCGGGCCCAAACCTGGCGGGCGCAAGCCTGGACAATAACGACCGCGGCGCCCTCTCGAGAACCGAAAACGGACACTTCACTAATCGACGTGTCACTGTTGGGGGTTCTGTCCACCCCCGGGTCAAGGCACCCTCACACCTGACACGTATAACGACGCATCAGGTGCGGAATGCCCGTGGGAATCTTCCCAACAAAATCCACCATGCAACTTCCATGCCCGCTTCATACCGGTGCTGCGTGCGCCCGACTCGCGCTGCGAAAGAAGTCGCAGCGGAAGGTTGTTCGCAGTGTTCGGCCTCTGCAGGGGCCCTTTCCGGGGCCTCAGGGCCGTCAACAAAACGACGCAGGATGAAAAACAGGTCCCAAGAAAGGGTCCAGGCCTCTGGGGTTAGGTTGGGCATGTTCTCCTACAGGGCAGCTCTGGGCGAAAAAGAAGGAATAGTCAGAAGACATCCGAACATATCAAAGAATTTAGTCCCCAGACCATGTTTTTACTATTATTGGATATTCCTCCTGTGGAGGGACATGCCCGACTCAACTCTGGGGGTCGACGTTGTGAACAAAACACGACGTCGGGGGTCACGGCTCAGCGCCGCTCTAAGGGGGGACTCCAGAAACGGGTACTCTGGCCAGTGACCCGGCGAACCCAACCCTCCCCGACGTGGGCAGCGCTGGAATGCCAGAAAGACAAGGGCTCCCAACTTCGCGCTTCGCGCTGCGCGAAGCGCGAAGTGCGAATAACTTCGCGCTCTCGCGCCACCCCCCCAAAGGGAGAAAAGGAGGACAAGGAGGAGGAGGAGAAGGAACGAGGACCGCGAAGCGCGAAGCGCGAATAACTTCGCGCCCTCGAGGGAGCCCTTGAGAAAGAGGCCCAAAAGTGGCAACTTTCGGAAAAAGGCCGCGGCGCCTCGTGCCGAGCCCCTCTGGGCGCGGGCGCCGCTCGGGGGGACAAAACGACCGACGGCGGGCGCGCGCAGGCTCCCTGCCGCGCCTCTTTCTGACTGCCTACCAGACCACCCCAACCCCGCCCGAAGACCCACCCAGACTTCAGGCTGGGGGCTGGTGTACGAGCCTCAGACGTGTTTTCCGATGCTCCCCTCCCCTCCCCCCCCCCACTGGAACTGTGCGAGGCGGGGGTTTATCCATGTCCGCCGCCTGGGAACCGACGTCCTGGTGCCCCAACGGGCGGCGGATAATATGTCTATCCACCGCCTGCCGAGGTCCCGGAAAATTGATCCTCCAGGCGGTGGTCATGTATAAATTTCCGCCTCGGAGAATGGATGGCAAATCGGGGCCTTCAGCTTGGGTTGGAGCGGCTTGATGGGTGGCGAGTGCCTCTTTCCCGAGCGAACACGGCCCAAAGGCCGCCCGCCGTGGTTTCTAGACGAGCGCGCTCCACGACTCGCAAAGCGACTACTCGCAAACGGCCTGGATGCCCCGGGGGGGATCTGCGAGAAATTACGTCGAAGCAGACGTGTATGTTTCGGACGTTTGTGAGCAGGCACTTTGCGAGTAGTGTTAAGTCAGGCCTGTCCCTGTACAGGGGGAATATGAAAAAATCATTAAAAAATAGCCTGGGGGCGAGTTTACGTATTTTTGCATACCTTCTGATCATTTTTGACTGTTCCTGATTTTCGCCCCGCCCCAAAATCCCCCCGTAGGGGGACAGGCCCGACCTGAGAGTAGTGGGGCTTGGGGGCGAGTTTGAGTCTTTTTGCAATACCTTTTGACCATCTTGGACTGCTTCGGATTCTTCGCCCCAGAAATCCCCCTCTAGGGGGACGGGCCCGACCTGAGCGTAGCGCAACGCGCTCGGTGAGTTGTCTGGGCGCGGCGCGCGCCGCGCCTGGGCAGGGCGCCCCCGCGGCGGTGTGCGGCCGCCGGCGCCCGAGGATCTCCGGCTCCGGCGCGCCGCCCCCTCGGGCCGCCCCGGGCGCCTCGGCAGCGGCGTCGAGGGCCTCCTCTCCCGCGACGGCGCCTCCCTCTGCCGGAAGAAGGAAAAGACGCGAGGGCTTTTTTACAGTCGAGGCGCTGTCAGGAGGAACCCTAACTGAGGAACGAGGCCCCTCTGTGTTTCCACAAGCTGGGCTTCGATTTCCCGTGGGAAGCCCAGCAACAAACTGAGACAAGCTGCAAGACTGGTAAGGAACACTGAGCACCTCCCCAACGAACAGGGTTCCTTCTTCAGCGGTCCAACTGTATACGCGGCGTTTCGACAGTGGGCGGAGGCGGGGTGGGGAGGGGGGGTTCTGGCTCTGGACCTCTGCTTAGTGCGACTGGTTGCAGCAGTGCGGCCGATGGGGGAGGGACCCCAGCTGCTCGAGACAGGCGCCAACAACGACCAAGATCTACTCCATGGGGTGCGGGAGGGGGGGTGCGAGGGCCGACGCCGATCGGCAAAACAACGAATAGAAAAACGCCCACAAAACGCCATCGACGTACACTTTTGCCGCTCCGAACAGATTTCTTGGATCAGCGCTGGACCACCCCCCTCTCTGGCGCGCGGAGCGCGCCAGGGGCGGCGGCTCTGGCGCAGGGGGGGGTGCCCAGCGCGGCTTCGAGGAATCCGCGCGGAGCGCCATTCAGTTTATGTTGGTGGGTTTTTTTCTTCTTCGCTCTGCGACGTCTAGCAGGCTCCAGTCGCCCCCTGCGCCAGCGTCGTCGGGCCGGTGCTCCATCTGGTGGGGCTCCGGCCGGCGCGCGAGCTGTGCGCGGGCACGTGGAGCCAAAAAACGGCTGCGGGTGCGGGAGGCTCACGTCGCGATGGCGTCGGCGTTGGCCTCTGGCGCTGCGTCGATGGCTCCGCATTGGACGGTCGCCGCCACCGCAAACAGCGCCATGTCGGCCGATGCCCACCCACTGGCGGCGTCCAAGGTTGAACGCCCGCGCTGGGGCCCCTGCCGCGTCGATACGGCGCGAACCTGCCGCATGGGGCACGGTGGGCGGAGTTTCCGGCAAGCGCGGGGGGAGAGAAGAGGAGAACAGAGGCGGAAGGCAGGCGAGATGGGCGAGGCAGGGGGTAAGCTAGACGGTGGAGGCACACCAAGAAGGCGAGGGATTAGGTAGAAGATTGAGGTGAGAGTAGGAGGAGAACGGGGTGAACGTAGGAGGAGGGCGAGGCAGGAGAGGAGGAGGAGGAGGAGGAGGAGGAGGAGGAGGAGGAGGAGGAGGAGGAGGAGGAGGAGGAGGAGAACGATGAGCTCCAGCAGCACACGGAGCTCAGTCTGCGCAGGACATCGCCCTCCTGCGAGAGGACTCCTCCTCCCCCTCCTCCTCCTCCTCTTCTCCTCCTCCTTCCCCCCACCTCTCCTCCTCCTCCTCCTTCACGTCACCACCACCACCACCACCACCACCACCACCACCACCACCACACCACACCATCACCATCACATCACCATCACCATCACCATCACCATCACATCACCATCACCATCACCATCACCATCACCATCACCATCATCACCATCACCATCACCATCACCATCATCATCATCATCATCATCATCATCATCATCATCATCATCATCATCATCATCATCATCATTATCATCATCATCATCATCATTATCAGCATCACCATCAACATCAGTATCATCAGTATCATCAGTATCATCAGTATCATCAGTATCATCATCAGTATCATCAATATCATCAGTATCATCAGCATCATCAGTATCATCAGTATCATCAGTATCATCAGCATCAGCATCATCATCATCATCATCCTCAGCCGCATCGTCATCATCATCATCATCATCATCATCATCATCAACATCACCATCACCGTCACCATCATCATCTTCATCATCATTATCATCATTACCATCATCAGCATCATCATCATCATCATCATCATTAACATCATCATCATCATCATCATCATCATCATCATCATCATCATCATCATCATACGTACCGTCATCATCATCATCATCATCATCATAATCATCATACGTACCGTCATCATCATCATCATCATCATCATCATCATCATCATAATCAACATCT